AGTGTTCCTTATCCATTCACCTGGCTAGGGATTTACATAAACTCCCAATGGAATTCTACATCCTTGGGTTTATCATTATCATCATAAACTTCGAATTGAACTCTACATCCTTTGGTTCATTATCATCAAATAAACTTCCAAAGGAATTCTACATCCTTGGGTCATCATCAACATCATAACATGATACATTCATACATATGGATAGTCATTATACATTCATAATTCATTTCTAATTTTTTTCATTGGTTTCGCGTCACATAATCTCGTGAGAAGGAAGACAGTTTCATAAGAACATTACTCTTTTCACATTACCATGCTTGCACAAACATTACAACACTATATATTGTCCATAAATTTCATTCGCACAAGGGAATCAAAACAACCAATGTAGGTGTGTAACATGGTGTATAGAAGCTGGACTTTTAATTTCATAATGTGTTTCACACATAAACATTCTTAAGTCCCCTTAATCACACCTCAATACATCTTCTTAATTCTATCTAAAACTCTTAATAAATAACATCAAGGCAGCCATCAATAAATATTCATAGGGGTCCTCTCTAAATATCCTGAAAATTTCATGAGTTTAAAATATATCGCACTTAGTGGCAGACCTATTTGGTTTCCTATGTGTGCAAGTGCACACATAAATTTGGTCATATATTTTTTTTAGTAAAAAAGAGTATATTTTTTAATTAATTATGAGTGTCACTTAAGGAGTAATTTTAGTGGCTGTATTACCAGAAATAAAGCACAGATATTAAGAAAGAAACACATCTTATTTACTGTTTATGTTTTAATGATTTTATATCATTAAGTTGATTACTATTTTTTTATGTTAAGTTCAAGTTTTCTTTTCTTTTGTTGTTTGAGGATTATATCCCTCATATTATATGAATGAAATTTTTTGTCAAGTTATATAATATTAAAGAAAGTTAGATGACACATAATTCAATGAATTGGTCTTATCTTTTTCTTAACATGACAAAAAATTTGATTCATGTAACATAAGAGATATAAATTTTTTTTATTCTTTTATTTTTAATGCATTTAAAACTTTGTTTAAATTTTTTTTCCGAAAGCATGCTCTCAAATCCCCTCTACTAAATATTCAGACTAAATATGCACACAAAAATAAAATTTTCTAGGTCCGCTACTGCTCGTACGGTATGTTTACACGAAAACAACCCGTACATTTTCACATCATCTTCACACATTGAGCTTAACATATAGAGTTACATAACAACACCTTAGCTAATGTCAAGGAAAATTTAAATACATCATAAAATAACAACAAACTTTACATTCAACATCACATAGTCTTATTATGAATGAAAGAGCATGAAGGCAGGATCATGGGCCATACAGCCTTGATCGAACAAGAGAAGGAAATGTAATAAGGATTTGATAGTTTACTTGGGTGTGGTTCGTAAACTAACACCCCACCTTTAATCTGACTTTTCTTACAAATTGGTTCTTGTTGCAACACAAGCTTGAACTTCCTTTTATTTTTATAACAATGATACAACGCTACAATTAAGGAGGAAGTGCAACCTATTGGTTCGCTTCACTTAGGCTCTGAAATTATGAAATACTAGGATAAAGGGAAGATTCTAAACACGTAGCAAACTTCTACTCTTTTAAACAAATTTTTTGGAGAACCGATCCAACTAGAAGTCTATTCCGATTAATTAGCGGTTGAACTTGGTTTTTAACCGGTTCATCGGTTTTAGGCTGGTTCAAATACATAACCGAGATTGGCCCAAACTGGTTAGTGATCAAGTTTCCGGCTTAACCTATCCGACCGTCGAGCTAGGCCGATTACCAATTCCAAATAGAGCAGTGGCAGAGCCACCCTGACTTCGGTCCAGACTAAATTTTAACAAATTGTACTTATCATGTATAATTATATAGTTAATTATAATTTGGCCCGCTCTAAAATTGTAATTTGACCCGAGTTAAAATTTATAATTTGGTCTTATCAAAAAATTAAAATATATTTGGTGAGAGATCTGGATAAGTTGTATTAAATTATGTGTTCCATTTTCACTTATATAAAAAAATTAAAATATATTTAATAAAATTATAACTCTTTTTGATGTTGTCTGCTCAGATATTTTGTATTTAATATAATTTAAAGAGTAAGGATATTGTAACAACCAATTAGTGTTACTACCAATGTTACTACCTATTAATTTTACCGTTAGATCGATTATGTTGATCCAATGGTTATATTTATTTTCTTATTTGTATGGTTATGATTCCTCATATTTAATATTTTATATTTATTTTCACCTTTGTATGGTTATGATTTTCCATATTTAATGCTTTCACATTAAATATGGGGAATCATAACCGTACAAAGATGAAAATAAATATAACCGTTGGATCAACATAATCGATCTAATGGTGAAATTGATTGGTAGTAACACTAATTGATTGTTACAATATCTTATCCCTAATTTAAATATATTATGATATGAACTAACTAAAATTAAAAAAAAAATAAAAACACATCTAATTTTTTGGCTCGGACTCCAATTGGAGCCTGGCTCGGCCACTGAAATAGAGCTTCACATGGGTTGAATATTTATATTGTTTTAAAATATTTTGAGAAGATATGAAAATTATCAAACATTCTAGCCAGATGAACCTAGGGATGAAAATCTAGAGATAAGTGCATATGGAACGATATGAACGTATATATGTGTACAAGGTAAAAGTGGTGATGAATGTTATCAAAAAAAAAGAAAAAGTGGTGATGAAATTATTCAAAATCTCATGGTTTAATATTGTCTTAGTTCTAGCATATTAATTTCTTCCTTAGTGAATATTACAGGAGATGACTAGTGAAAAAAGGATGTAAATGTTTAGTAATATCCCTAACTTTTGAAATGTGCTTACGATTTTGTGAATTGTGCCAACGTATAAATCATGATATAATTTGAGTTTGATTTTAAAAGACGTATATTTTTTAAATTGAGCACTTGATAGGCTTTGGAAATAGTGAGGCGTCCCTCATCACCGGTCATGAATATGCTATAATATCTTTCTCAAAGCCCTAAGTTATATAAACAAATTTGAGTTTACTCTCGATCCTTTTCACTATATGATTAGTTCATTTAAGAATTTCAAGGATATGTTATAATATCTTTCTCAAACCCCTAAGTTATATAACAGGGCCTTCATTTGATTTGTTTAAGCAAATCTGAAAGAAAATATACTTTTCTTAGTTCATATGTAAATTCCTTATCGTTCTTTTTAATTCTAAGTTTCACTTAAAAATGAAGGTGATAAAATTTTAAGAGTCACAATTCAATCCCCCTTCCAAAGATTCTTTGTCATCTATAACACTTTCATTATCATTATGCGCAGATTTGCGACTAGCTCCATAATAACCTTGTGGAACACTTTGATTCTTGGTCAAAAGAATGTTACATTAATTATACACAATTTAATGACTTACTCCATATTATCCTTATTAGAAACTTTCATTTTGTTCGACAAAATGTTGTATATTTTTTGCATCCACACACAATCAGCTGTCAATTGAATTGCATGCAGCAACGAAAGCAAAATAATAAACAACAGCAACGAACATAATTAAAATCTGAGGTTAAACCCGCTAATTAAAATAAATAAATAAATAAAGGCCAAAATTATATTTAAAAAAAACCTAACTTTTAAGGGACCTATGTATATACTCCCTTAAACAATGAAAACATCATTACTTGAAATTATAGACTTTATATTAAATATTATAAGGCTTTATATTTTTAAAATGAATGTAGATAAGTTATCTACATTCGCTGCTAAAACGATGTCGTTTTGAGTTGAAAAATTAAAAAATTATAGTGAAAAAGACTATTATAACTCTGAAATAAATTATAATTACAAAAATACCTTGATTTCCGCCTCAAAATAACGTCGTTTTGGGTTCAATGTAGATAAGTTATCTACATTGACGGTAGAAAAAACAAACCCTATTATAAACCGAGTAATCAAAATTACAATTTATGGAAATTACATACATAAACAAACTTAACTCATAAGAATCACAGATTATTCTTAACTTAAAACTTAAGGTTTTTTTATTCTTGAAAAGAATACGAAGAAATATCATTTAAAATAACAAAAATTTAAATTCTAAAATTTTTAAAGAGCACTTCACTTTTTCCGGAATATTTTGTAAAAGTCCTTATCGGAGCAAAATAAACCGAAAATAAATAAAAAAATCTAACAGTTTCTAACTCTTGTGATATTTTAATAAAAAATAATTACACTAATAATTTCAATATAAAAGTCTTTATTTTATTGTTGCTCAAAATTAGAATTCTAAATATACTGTACATAAAATTGGCAAAAGAAACCAGAAATTTCTCCACATACTTTAATCGTTTTAACTTTGCAAGGGTAGGAAAACTCAAATTTTGAACTAAACAAATCAGGGACCTTTACCTCGATTCGTAAAGACCTGAGCTTATATGTCTAAAAGTTTACATGTCTAAAATTAATTGTTGAAACCAGATTTAAACTTATATAAAAACTCGTTTAATAAAAAAGCATCCAACTTCAATTTAAAAGCTCTTTCTTAAAGCCTTTCAGGCTAACCTTATATGCTAATTTTTATTTTTATTTTATATTTTTTATACTATTCATAATAGTCATCTCTCGCTCCTCAATCCATTTCACCTCATTTCATTGATTAAACAGACTTTTTGAATAATTTTATTCTATATTATGCTTTTTGAACATACATTAAATTTATGAATCTTTGTGAAATTATTAGTGTTATGAATCATATATTTTATTTGAATAAATTTTTGTTTTATTTTTTGTAAATAAGTCAGGTCACATACCGATAATTATATTTATAACAGGTAATAGACTATGTCATGCTAACACATTTAAACACAGACTTAACCTTTTAAGACCAAAGCTAAGCCCGTTAACACCCCTAATCACAACCAGTTCAACATCGCACGTTATTGAAAATCTTTAATATAAAAGATTAAAAAGCATCAGCACAACTGCGAAGCCATACAGAATTAAACTCACGGTACGCCCACACAACACAAATATATCAAACACCTGATAGTAACAATGGCAGGACAAGTTTGCAAGTTAAGACATCACCAAAGTCATTAGGATAGGTGCAAACCCACATATCCCCATGGAAGATTTGTACTAGAACATTCAAAATAGTGATCAACAAAGAATCTACAAAGTCAGCAAACACTTCACATCTCATCCGGCAACTTTTCTAGTGAAAGTTCTTCCAGTTGGAATCTGTTGTACGGGCCTGAGAGAGAAGTTTCCAGACTCAGAAATCCAATTGACTCCAGCCATCATTGGAGGCGGGCGGCTTTGCCCCAAGGACTGTCTTTGAGAACCAATAGATATATTGGCCAACTTTTCAGCGGTTGCTGAAACCCCACGTGCAGTCCTCCCCTTGTTTACAGAAGCTGCAAACCAAACAAACATAGATCTTATTTCCAGATTATTGAAGCAACTACCTAATACACCTTCGACCATAGAAAATTACATAGCTGCTTCAGGGACTCGTGTTTAAAAAAGAAAAAGAAAAAAAAGTTTATTATGAATGAAAAAAAACCACTTGAAGTTATTGTGCTTAATAATTGGCTTAAATATCATAGTAACTATAGGATCACAATAAATAATTTTAGAGTTCCTTTTTTCGAATTCTCCCAGAAAATTTGGTTCCCAACAATAAAATTAACTGTTACAATGATAATTAACCAATAATATTAGACAAAAGTGCTTACTTGGGCTGTCTTTTCCTAGTGGTTGATATTTTGTTTGTTCAGTAGTCTTCGAGGACTTCTTGTTCTTAATTTCATTCTACAGGAGAATCAGAAAGAAATTATTACCGTGATAGAATTAGAGAAAAGAAACAGTTTACACATGAACATATCAATCCAGAAAAGTAATACCAAAAAAGAGCTACTCAACTAAGTTAATGCGGAGTACAAATTGTGAGACAGATCTTCAGTTTTTATTTTTTTATTTTTAATGCCATGCACCAAATATTCAATGAGTAAAAAGCTGTGTGGTGGCCAAGGCACTAGTCAGGAAGCAAGATGGGATAAGAACAGATTAGAAAGTATAGAGTAGAACAACTCACCTCATTTGCCATATCCAGTTTCCGTTGCACAGCTGTAATGTTCAGAAATAAATGAAAACCGTGTTATGAAAATACAAAAAAAGAAAAAGAAAATACAATATATGAAACAGAGTATGCCACTAACAAAAAGGACCTATTTATTGTACTTATACAGCCCAAACAAAAACAAGCTCAGCTATATTTTATATTCGTAACTTAGTTTGTATCATTGAGAAATATACAGTAGCAATGTAAACAATGTACTGATACAAGATGGAAATTTTCCAGCTTAAACACCAACACATATTTCTAATGTGATTGGAAAATGACTCATATCTACAGATGCCAGAATGAAAAGCATGCATGCATTTAACCTAGAAATGGTTGAAACCAATTAGATCACCTGACGCTAAAGGAGTATGTAATATCGGGGAAGAAAAATTATTGGTGAGCTTTGAATTAGGCAAAGCACCAGAATATCTCTTGACTCCTTGCCAATCGACTGCTCCCCTGGTTCCAGCTGCAACAAAAAAGATACTTAAGGTGTTTAGTATCCCCCTCATATTGAACCATAAGCAAGTCCTTAACAAACAATATAAATAAAATTACAAACCAGATGGGGGAGTTCTGGCTACTGCTCTAGTGCGAATGACCGGAGGGATGTTAAAGCAACTCTACAACAAATTTTAAAGAGAATGAATAAAAACATGCTTACTGAAAGCGAGATATAATTTTGTGTAGAAAAGACAGACAATTTAAAAAATCTGATCAAAGGTATAAATTAGTTAAAAGATAACCTGGAAGAAAGGATGTTGAAGGGCCTCTGCCGCTGTTGGTCTCTTGCAGGGATCCCATGAACAAAGTGACTGAAAAAATAGAAAACAAAGAACAGATAAAATACATAGCACTGTATAAGTCGAGAAATGGAGGCCAGGAGTAAAAGCAAAATTACTTACTGTGATAAGGCTGATTGCATCATCACTTCTGGATGGGATCAGTGCAGAGAGATGTACACTAGCAAGCTGTAGAATTTAAAAACAAGGCAGACAGTATTTAGCAAAAGTACCCATCTTAATATATAATATCAACAGACAACGTCCAATACCAAAATGAAAGGGGCCAGCACAACTAAACAGGGAGTCTGAAATTATCAAGGTCACAAGTCCAAACAAAACATAAAACACATCATTGGTAGAATGCATAAATTGCCTCACACGTCACACCTAGCACATTAATCAGCAACTAGCACCCCAAAGCTGACCACCAAAACCAGCAAGGCTTAAATTAAGGAAATCCAACCTGTGGAAACTGATAATTGATATCCCTGGCAAGTTCGAGTCCATCTGCCCAAGATTCAGTGGTTGGACTACCTATCACACTGCATATTTTGTAGATCTCATCTGCTTCACTGCATGTACAGCCATAACGGAACATGTTTATTTTCAATCCAGGGACTTAATAAGATGATTTAGACAAGGAATGCACTTATATAGATACGGTGCCATAAACTTGTGGCAATTTGCAACCAATAACAATTGAAAAAAAAAAAATTGCAGTCAAATATGTGAACATGGTAACTTATTCAGAGTAGACCCAGGGGCCACAGATTTGTGAATTCCCTAACAAAGTTTTGTTACCTTCATCAAAGTAAAAAACACCATCATTTGAGAAGTTGAAGAGAGAAGTTAATACCTGGTACCCGGAAATAGAGGACGGAGAGTGAACAACTCAAATATAATAGCACCCATTGCCCACATGTCTGGAAGATAAAACAAAATAAATAATTGTTTGTATGGAACTCATCATCATGACTACAAGTAATGCATTAGTCAAGACCATTTTTTTAGAAAATAAGTCCAGACCATATAAATGACATAATTACTCTATATCAGATGCTTACCAACTTTGGAGCTATACAGATTAGAATGAAGCAGGACTTCAGGAGCACGATACCTAATCAGAGAACATTATACATGTTATTAAGCAAATAACACTCAGCCCATTATACATCTATAATAATGCATTACAAGTTGAAGACACATACCACCGAGTGGAGACATACTCAGTGTAGGGTGGTTGTGAACTAATCTCTCGAGCTAGGCCAAAATCAGCAATTTTGATGATATCCCTGGTGACCAGCAAGTTTTCTGCAAAAAGAAGCATACCTTGTGTCAAAACATAAAAACTTTACAGCAAAGTAATAAGATATGAGCAATAGATCAGGCACCTAGTCTGTATTTTTCTCATGATATGCAATTCAATTAATTAGCAAACAGAAACTACATTTGAAAAAGATAAAAAAAAAAAAAAATTTGATATAGTAAACAGATAGGGAAAGTTAGCAATGAGGTAACAAAATGCTAACACTATATACATTCCATGCTATACAATATAAATGAACTCTTATTAACACTTTTATCATACCACATACTCTACCAAGACTACACAAAATCATGAACAAGTACCAGGCTTCAGATCACGATGAAAGTATCCACGCTGGTGCATGTAAGCAAGACCTTGGAAAACTTGAAAACACCAATTTCTAACTTCATCTTCAGAAAAAAGCTTTTTCCTGTTTTCCATAAGATGATAGAGGTTACATTCCTGCATCACCCATAATTGACTTAAAACAGTTAGTATTAGACTTCGCATCAGCCAACATTACGAAATAAAATCCAGTAGTCACTCACCAAGTACTCGAAAACAAAGAACAGGATGTCACTTTCTCGAATAACTTCCTTCAGCTTCACGATATTCGGGTGATTCATTTTTCGTAGAGACTGCCATAGGGGAAATTAGTGAATAAATATATGCAGAATAATAAACAATATGTGGAAAATAAGGCTTAGGAAAGATCAGAAAGATGTGACACCTTAACTTCTCTCAGGTTTACACACTCCTCCCAAGAGTGATATTTCTTCTTCATTTTCTTGATCGCAACCTGTAATTTTACTATGAATTAGAAAAAAGAAACACACAATCTGATTTCATATAGAGTGCCTTCATCATTCTATTTAAAGCAGCATACTTACAACTTCACCACTTTGCTTATTAATGGCACTCCAGACACTCCCAAATGTTCCATCACCAACTTCCGTAATTAACTTGTACCTGTGTTCGGGGGAGATTAAAAAAACAATTAAACAAAGATAAAAAAGAGTGGAAATAGCAATTTCTGCAACAAATATTTACCTCTCCATTGTTTCAGCAGAACCCAAATAAGCTCCTTTATTCAAAAAGTATAAGCAAACACACAAAAGATAGATGGCATATATCTCTAGCAGACAATGCTTAGAAAGAAGTATAAAATATTAACAGATATCAGCTGGTCCAGCAAAATCCACCATCAAATCTCTGTCATGGCAAAAACTGGCACAAAAGCAGAAACTTTCTGATGGAAGGGCTGCATAGCCTTATTGATTAATAGATCCATAGCTTTGTAATGCTAGCAGGACGCATGTGGCAGAAATGAACAAGTACTGGAGATTGTACTGCCACTTCTCAAGTCCAACCAAAATGATAGATGAAAGCAACAGAATTAATCTCTAGCTAAAATCCCGAGACTTGTAAGGACTTCGATAATAGCTACTTCATCTATTGTTCATAGGTGTTGTTTGGAACTTCCAGGTAAATGATGTTTTGTCGCCGCAAATAACCATCAGGAGCAACAATAAGACATCATTAATAACTACAGTCTGCATTGTTTCAATGCAATTGCATATCCAATACTCGAGATGCAAGCAGCATCCAAAATACAGACCAATTTATATAGTTCACCCCTACAGAAGAAAGAAAATGTAGAGCTAAATCCTTAGGAAATTAAAAAAGATGAAGAAGATATACAAATGCTCCATGATAGATTGCTTACCCCAAAGGTGGACTTTTCAGATGTTTTAACTGGATGTTAGGTCAGCAATGCACTATCAAAGGAACACATATCAAGAAACAACTTTTTTATAGGTTTTAGCCAAAGAAGAAGAATAAGCTCTTACTTGTACAAGTTCACTAAAGATGCAGGACCTGTCTCAGAAGAAACAAGCATTACGTAGGATAACAGGAAACTAAGTGCAATTAACAAAGGAAACCAGAAGAAAATCTCCAAGGATGAAGAATCGCCAGTCAAGCATTTCTTGGAATGAAAACAAATGATACTGGTAGCAACTTGACCAGAAACAAACACCCTCCATGTCTCAAGAAATAAATCAGAAATCTTAAGATTCAAACCTAGATCACCCTGCAATAAGAGAACAAGGGCCTCAGAGTACATTAAAAATTCTATAATGTATAGTACATGGGCAACAAAAATAGAAATCCCAACAAAAACCAGAATGACAGGGAAACAGGTAGATTCCAATGCTAAAAGAACATAAAAATTAAGAGTATGGAGGATCGATGCCCAATTAAATTTATTCTATTTACAATTTCTAATTCTAACTTGTTGATAACTGTTAAAATTTGAAATCATGTAGAAATTTTGAATCTAAGTGATAGAAAATCAAGTTACCAGGCAATGAACCCAGTGTATCAACAAAGACCTAAACTCATAGGCACAATAGCTCTAGAAGATAAAAAAAAAGTTACAAGGAATTAAATTAAGATGGTGAGAGTGAACATAATATAGTACATGAATTCGCATGCCCAAAATTTTTACTACCAGCACAGGCAGGATGTAAAGAGTATAACTAAAATCATTTAGAACCATTCCAATAAATCCACAATGCTTCCAGAAATCATCGCACGCCATTTCACCTACCAAACATTTTTCATGAAATTCCACAAAGGGCATCAAGGTTGAAAAATGTTTACATATGATGAGAACTAAGCTTCAGATTCAAAGGCGCAAAAACAAAAACATCTCCAAACTTTAACTAATACCTCAAAATAAAAATAAAATAAACAAAATAAGCATAACAAAGAGGAAGGACTCAATCCTATTAACATTTAAAATATATCATCAAAACTAAACTCATCATCGCCTATGAAATTCCACAACTAGCAACGAAGTCAAAAATCGTTCACAAATTAAGCTTCAGACTCAGTCAACGGCAGAAGATAAGCCAATTTCGAAACCCTAATTAAAACCCTGATTTAAAAAAAATAAAATCAAAGGATATCCCAGAACCTGAAAATTAACCCTTAAAATATATCACGAAAACCATATTCAACCTCCTTTGTCAAAATCTTAAAACAGCCAAATCAAACCCTACATCATGAAACCACAACCATTCCTTAAACGCGGAATTATACATATTTTTTACCAAAATTTCAAGGAATTTTCAACGATTTGAGATTCTGGGAACGAAGAAACATGGAATTGAAAGCAGGCATGATTGCCATAAAGAACCCGAACGATTCAAAGGAGATAAGATTGTAATTGAAACGCACGCAGTGATAACAATAAAGAGAAGAAGAATAGAGAGAAAACCTGAAGAGCAAGGAGCGCAAGCACCGTCTCGAAGGACGAGAAGAGGTAGAAGCTTCTTGTCTTTCTCTCTCTTTGCCACCAAACCCGGCCCAATAAAAAACCCACCTTTTTCTTTTCTCGTTGTTTCTCACAAAATTCCGAGTACGCCTGCCTCCTTAAATGTATGTAACAGAACAGGTAAGCGAATAAGCGCCGTTTAGATGCGATTTTGAAAAAAAAAAAAGACTTTTGATTAGTTATTTTTTTTAAAAGAATTTAAAAAAAAATTCAAAGTTATTTTATATTTAGATATTATATTTGAAAAGTGCTTTTAATTAAAAATGTTAAAATCAAAAACCCCTTTGCTTTTTGTGTATTTTGCATTTGCATTTACATTTACATTTACCTCTTGGATTTCACATTAGTAATTAGTTTCCACAGCCCAACGATAATAACGAACAACGGCGATAAGCAGCGGTAATTTGTCGAGGTAGTCAGCAAAGGAGTTGGGGTGAGCTGGACGTTGATACTTTGGCACGCGCATCAAAATGTACTGGCAGAAGCTCCAGCTGTCAAAATGGATTAGCCCGGCCTATTTAATCTTAGTCCATATGTGTTAAGGTCAAAAAATTCACAGGATAAAAAAGTTCACAATGATATTGGCTCACATGAGCCAAAAGCCCTATGGGTTAAGGTCAGCTCGTGGGTCTTCCAAAAATTTAATATTTATATTTTTTGTTAAATAAAAAAACTCATACTTGATTTTAATTAAATTATTTGTAATTTTTCAATCTCAAGAAACAACCTATATCAAGTTCCAACTTGGTTTTCCAACCAATTTGATTTTATTTAACCTAAAATCTTATAAAACAATCAGATACAAATGTTGGACAAAATGAAATAAATTTCCATAAAAATTTGGACAGAAACTACAGATTTTTTCCATGAATCAAATAGTTCAATGAAATAACTATAACACAACTTCATTTGAGTAAATAGATTGTATAACTAAGACAGATTTTTTCCATCACAGTGGCAGCCTATGATGCACGGACACGGACACGGAACACGACACGCCGACACGTTAATTCTAAAAAATGTCATATTTGGATACGTTGGGACACGTTTTGATATTAAATAAATTTTTAATATATATAATATAATTTATATTTAATACATATAAGAGTCCTTAATAAGTCATATAACCAATCAAATATTTAAATTTCATAACATTGATATAAAAAATAACAATTTTTCGTACTTTGTTAATTTTTCATGTCAAATTTCATAACAGAAAAAAATTAATTTATAAATTATTTCTTTTATATTTAGTTAACAAAATAAAATTAAGATTTAAAAAAAAAAACGTGTCCAAGCGTTGACTGTGTGTCAAAAAAACGTGTCGGAACGGGTCCGAGAGTTGACCGCGTGTCCCCAAATATTGACCGCGTGTCGGACGCGTGTCCGAGTGTAACATCCCGCAAAATTAGAAAATCTCATAACTTGCAATTAGGGGTGTGTAGCATGCTTGAAATTCGAATTTCAATTATGTTTAGAGTGGAATTAATTCATTTAGGGAAATTATTCTAATGGAAATTATAAGTGAATACTTATGTATTTTAAGAATTCAAAACACCAGTTAAAAAAGGATAGAATTACAATTAATTATAATTTAGGTAGGAACTTTAATCATTAACTGGTGGGTATATGAAATTACATACATCAATATCTATATATAATTAATATGTATATATGTCATGTGATAAGTGAACCTTTAGACATCTCTCACATAAATCTGCATGCATGTAAGTTGATTAGTCAAGAAATGACCACATGGTAAATCCCTATCTATCTTATCTCACCACCTCTTGCACCCAATAAGAAGAGAGAAATCTCTTTGCATGAAACTCTATTGGCCAAGGGCAGCCACATCACCTAGCGCCCAATGAGGGCAAAAGCTGCATTATTATTATTTTGTTCTTTTTCTTTTATTGCATCCTTGAATCAGAATTTTTGGTCAACACATCCCCTTTCTATGCGCTGATTGAAGGAGCAAAATATTGTCTCCTTCTTCCCATTTCCTTTGAACTACACTCAGTCTATGCATGCCTTCTCATGCTCAACTCGGTCATGCTTCCAAGCTTCTCAAACTCTTCAACGCCTAAACTCTAAGCCTCATTTCCCTCTAAGCCGAACACCACTTAAAGGAAGACCACAAATAAAAATCTTGCATCTCCTTCCCCATCACAATTTTCATAAACCGTGAGTTCCATACAGAGACGGCAAAACATCAAGCACTCTCGTCCCCTCCCTGCCTAACTCATTGAGTACCACTAGACAAGAGATTGTGATTTGAGCTCAACATCTATTCCTTCTTCTCTTGTGCACACCGCCAGCCTCAAGTAGGAGAAGGTGAGATTTTCGCTGCTGTCTTCTTGCTCCCTTCCTACTTGGACCGATTCTGACTAAGTTTCCCTCTGGTTGCTGGAACATGGTTCTGATTTGGTTGAATCACTTCCCCATTGCATGCAGCTGGAACGCAGTTTTTGGAGTAGGATGAAGAGGAAATCGTGTGTCTTTTGGTGGCTGTTCCTCTTTGGCAGAATGGGGAGATATGGGCACATGCATGAGGTATCAGTCAAACCCCAACATATTTTCCCCATTCTATTTCGGCCTATGCGTGTAACTTGGAAGGATCTTATTTTTAATTATTCACACCCCTTTGTTGCTGCTCGTTTGGACCACTTTGCACCTAGCACTTACTAGCATAAAGAATCGAATGTTGGGGATTGAAAAAAAAAATGGCTTCCTGGGCGTTGTTAAACCAGTCCTTAGGTTATAAAACTTGGTTAATCCTTTTCTTTTCCTTTTCTGTTCAGCATTGTAATTTTTGATCCTTTGGTGAATGCAGGCAATATCTGATGTTGGGAACTTGAAAGATAAATTTTATTGGGACTAGGGGCTGTTCATTGGGATAGTGTGATTGTAAGCCTTACATGTATATTTTTTATCCTATAGGCAGCTTACAAATCGATTCATTAACTCATGCCCAAATTTAGAAGGTAGGTCTTGTTAAAGGAAAAATAGGTATCTTGTCATTCTTTACTTATTGCTCTATTCGGCTGCTGCATTTAAATTCAGAGAACCATGTTTTGCTATTTTATTCCTTGGACTGCCTTTGGACTTAATGACTGTAAGCACAAAAAAAATAAAAATAAATCTGGTCTAGGAGCTCGAAAGATAGCTCCCATTAAATTGTTGAACTGCACCTGGAATTAGAAAAAATTCTTAAGCTTTGCATATGTTGAATTTGGGTAAGGCAGCTTGCTAAAATATATTTACTCAGGCCTAGGAATCGATCTTGGGGCATGGAAACTACTCTCACAAATTGTGGAACTGTTTTGGTTGAGTTAGAATGGTGTATATGCCTTGGTATGCACTAATTTACAAGGACAACATGCTAAAAAAGTTATGATCATGCTTAAGTGATATAAGAAGTGTTAAGTATAGAAAAGCAGAATTAATAGGAGTAATTGTCATAAATAAAAACGAATCTGTATGCTTATAGGACCCTTGGATGTTGTCACTTGATAACTATTTGGTAATACACCTTAAGTCTGAAAAACTTCTAGTTATGAGCCTTGGTATTTGATTATAAATCAAGTCCTAAGAAGAGTGGAAACACTATATAATGTGTAGAAGTAATAAAATAAATCGATTAGGTCCCTAGTAATGATTGAAAACCGAACTATGAGGAATTTCAGGTTTGGCACTGTGTAATTGAAAGTTGGGAGCCTTGTTAATAATTAAAGAACCGAACCCTCATACATGGGAAATCACGGTTAAATCACTTGCCATATACTTGTAAAATAAATTCTGCCAGAAAAAATTCACGTAGTAATTGAAACATGGAATTCGATTTGAAACCAAGGACCTAGGAGAATAGAAAAGCTATGCAACGTAGAGGAATGAATGTAATAAATTCTGATTTGGTGTATATGTTTTTTTAGGTGCGCAAGGTCCTAAATAAGTGGATTGTTTGATGATATTTGGAACGCTTGATTAAAAATCTAAAGTGGCAAGGTAAGTGTTTGGTGGTGAGACCTATTGTGATTATTAGCTAGCGTATGGAATTTTGAACTGATGCTCACATGTGCCTGATGATTTGTATTCTGTTATACGTTATATGTATTCTGCCTTTGGATGTGACCTGATGGAAATTCCGTTTTGGGGAATTATTTGTGATTCGGCAGCTTGGTATTAAAAGTACGAGAAATATATGCTATTATGATCTAGTCATGCATATGCACCTCATGATTCATCTGTTTCTGTTTGTGTGTGACAAACATGTCATAGCATCCAGCATTATGCATTCATTCTGGAAACCTAAGTATATAATAAAAGTAAGTATACGTTTGAGCACGCATCATATAGGCATCCCTCCGGTACCAGGGTATGAGACATTTGGCTTCAGTCCGCATAGGTCGCAGTTGGAACCCTCTTGAGGAGCCACTATGGGATCTCCACTGTGCTTGTTAGTACGTGCACTGCAGTGCTATGAACGTACATCTTTGGCGTTATATACGCATCTTGATTAGTATTTTGGCGTTATATACACAATATCATTAGTATTTTGGCGTTATATACGCACTTTGATTATATGTTAGCAGTTGTCGGAATTATATGTTGATGCAACTGATTTGCAATTTTGTACCTAGTCTAATATTGTGGCAATACTGGTTTTACTATCACACTACTGGGATTTTTCTCACCCCTTTTGGGGCTGCATTTTTAAATTGCAGGGAGCTGTAGAAGCATATGATGATTTGGTTACTTTGGAAAATTGTTGTTGACTGCTGCCATTTGGAGTTTCCGTTGTTATATGTTATGTTTGTTGGATGTTGGATAACGATGTTTTATTGATGTAAGGTTTTGGAAATATGGACTATTGTTTTAAAAGAGAATTTAATTGTTGTTTATAATATTTTTCTTATAGTCAGCTTGTAAATTGTGAGACTTAGATTATATTTTGCAAAGACAATTTTTGAACGTTTTAAACTCTGATTTGAAAAATAGATTTGACGAGCACCTTACGAGTTCTGTATCTGGGGCTACAGATTTCCGATTTACATATAATTTATATGAACACGAAGCCCCAGA